AATAATAATAATAATAATAATAATAATAATAATAATAATAATAATAATAATAATAATAATAATAATAATAATAATAATAATAATGATGATGATAATAATAATACGTGCATGTCCATTCCACCAATGTTGATGCACCTCAATACCAGCGGGAACACATTTTTTTGTTTCTTTGATCCATACTGTTTAGCCAAGTATGATTTTTCAGGCCAATTTTGAAAGACCATATTTCGGGCAATTCTTATCGTAGATTTAAAATCAATATGTTAGATGAAGCAGAATTTAAGTAGCTTGGAATCGGTATGCTGCATGAGTGGGTAGGGCAAAGCTTCAACACAATGATTGGATGAATACATTTTCAAGTTTCTCTTGGACAATTCTTTTAGTATCCCTCGCTTTCTTCTCTTGTAGCCCAAGGAACTATTCAAAATTTTTGTGTTTTCATTTCCCATAAACAAATTTCCTCCGGTTGATTGTTATAGTACCAGAAATCTAAATGCGGCAAAGCTGGGGCATATTAGATCTAGCTTTGTGCACACTGTGTTCTTTTCTGCTGTCACGGAGATTAAAGACACTTTCGAAAAAAATATGAGAATAGCCGAAATGACATATTGTCATTTTGGAAGTGACGGGTCTTCTGGTGTGATCTACTCCATCTTTCCTATCAAACGTCTACCGTCCTTATCTCCCCTTCTTTTTTGTGTTTCTTATTCTTATGTAACACCTCTAATCTTCGACACTTATAAGACCTTATTGTGTTGCAAGTGGCTTAAAACTCTTCCTAAAATTGAACATTGTCATTTTCCATCTATCATGTTGTTGCGTAATCTCAGGCAGGCAGTTGTTCTGTCCTTCATTGAGCACTTCGATGACACGACAGCACAGTCAGCGGATCTACAGCTGTAACAGACAGACAGACAGACAGACAGACAGATAGATAGATAGATAGATAGATAGATAGATAGATAGATAGATAGATAGATAGATAGATAGATAGATAGATAGATAGATAGATAGATAGATTTGCCTCAGTTGCGAAGCTCGCCATGGTCATTAACTTATAATATTATTCTTTCATTTATATTCACAGCAATAAACGGAACCTCCGGAAATTCGACACTGGGCGCTATTCTCTCCTCTGGGAATTCAACGAGCGGAAACTTTTCTAGAGCTTTCGCTTTCAACGCTTCAAGTGGAAACTTCACAGGTGGAAACTTTTCTAGAGCTTTCGCTTTCAACGCTTCTAGTGGAAACTCCTCAAGTGGAAACTTTTCTAGAGCTTTCGCTTTCAACGCTTCTAGTGGAAACTCCTCAAGTGGAAACTTTTCTGTCTTTGCTGGAAACTTCACAGGTGGAAACTCCTCAAGTGGAAACTCTTCTGTCTTTGCTGGAAACTTCACAGGTGGAAACTCCTCAAGTGGAAACTCTTCTGTCTTTGCTGGAAACTTCACAGGTGGAAACTCCTCAAGTGGAAACTCTTCTCTCTTTGCTGGAAACTTCACAGGTGGAAACTCCTCAAGTGGAAACTCTTCTGTCTTTGCTGGAAACTTCACAGGTGGAACTCCTCAAGTGGAAACTCTTCTGTCTTTGCTGGAAACTTCACAGGTGGAAACTCCTCAAGTGGAAACTTTTCTCTCTTCGCTGGAAACTTCACAGGCGGAAACTCCTCAAGTGGAAACTCTTCTGTCTTTGCTGGAAACTTCACAGGTGGAAACTCCTCAAGTGGAAACTTTTCTGTCTTTGCTGGAAACTTCACAGGTGGAAACTCCTCAAGTGGAAACTCTTCTGTCTTTGCTGGAAACTTCACAGGTGGAAACTCCTCAAGTGGAAACTTTTCTCTCTTCGCTGGAAACTTCACAGGTGGAAACTCCTCAAGTGGAAACTCTTCTGTCTTTGCTGGAAACTTCACAAGTGGAAACTCTTCAAGCGGAAACTTCACAGGTGGAAACTTCACAGGTGGAAACTTCACAAGTGGAAACTTTTCTGTTTTTGCCGGCAACTCTTCAAGTGGAAACTTTACGGGTGGAAACTCCACAAGTGGTAATTTTCCTGTCTATGTCATCAACCCTTCAGGCGGAAACTTCACAGACGGAAACTCGTCAGTCATCATCACCGGTAACTCCACCAACGGAAACTACAGCTCGTTTGACCAGGTTCCGATAATTGGCTAACTCCAACCCCGAGGAGAAGAATGAATGCCATAATCTCAACATAGTCGATCACAAAATAAGATCTGCTTATCTCTGAAAGACTGATTTGGAAACCACCATGACAAGCCGTTAGATGAAACTCTTCCAACCACAAAAAGTGTATTTAACAATTTTCCCTTACATTTAAATATTTTACGAGAACGGTGTTGCAGCTGATCAAAATAAACCTCAGACATGTTTCGTTGTCAGGCGAAATTTTCCTTACTCAAAGTGTATAATGTAATATAATACTGCCATTGTGTAAAATGTGAGGATAACATGACGAAATTAAGTGGAAAATAAAATAAATTAGCATTTGAAGAACCAAGAAAGTATCATCTTTGTTTTTATTTACGTCTTTTCTTTTTCTGTAATCATTATCAAAAATTGTCATTCCAATCGAACTAGTGAAAAATTCGAGTCCTATTAACTGGATTCCCTTCTTTTTTGTAATTTCTAATTGTCTATTGGACAAACTGATGCAGAATATCAAGCAAATTGCTCAATATTTGACACAGAAATAGTCGATATAAGATCTGAATGTCTGTGGAATCTACTATCTCTTTTTTGGTAGGCTATTGTCGGTCAAAATTACCAAATGAACTGGTGTTCATGAAAGTATTTAGGTCTACCCAGTTTTTCAGATTATTTCGTAAACTGGAACTCAGGAAAACTATACAACCCCTCCAACCTCCCTCCCCCCCCCCACACCAAAAAAAACTTCCTCTTCCCCCACCCACACTCTCTCTCCCCCTATTTGTTTCTCTCTCCACATAGTCCTTGTCTTTAGCCAAAGGTTCTCCATGTGCCCAATTCTCTATAACAAACACTCATTCGTGTATTTCCCATCTTCAGTTATTTGAAGTGTAGTCTTACCTAGTTTTACTGATTATGTGGTTAACAGGAACGCACGAGACCTATTTAGCCTATTAAGCCACCAGCCCCCCTCCCCCTTTCACTACCCCCCCCCCCCCACCCCGTCTGTCTCCACACTTTCCTTGTCTCTAGCCCAAATCTTCTCCCCTCAATCAGTTCTCTGTATGACAAACACACGTTCATGTACTTCACATCTTTGGCCGTTTGAAGTCTAGTGTTTTCGTGGTTCTTCCTCCTCTTTGCCTATTCCTATCGGAGATGGATGGGAAATCGCAGTCACCATTTCCCTAATAACGTTAGAGTGTTGAAAAGGGCGTTAAACTCAAACCATACATTTCTAGGAGATTGGTTGACCTTCAGCTGATCTGGACTCTCTCCAACCCTTCCCATCCCCTCACCTGCCTCTTGAACCATCACAATATGAATCAGACATAATATTGCGTTACCTTAGAATTACAAAGTTGTATCTGTTCACTAGCTAATTTTGAGAAATTTGACGTCAAAAATGTTGAGTTACACAACATGTCAAGCTTTTCGAATGCAACTCATTGAATATCTTGATAATCTTACGATTATGATTGAGCAGATATAATGTAATGGTTTCTGACCTCATGTTCTCAGTAAATCAAAACGGCCGAATCGGCAGATAGAACTTTGTAATTCTGAGGTAGCGATTGGGAGAAACGACTGAGTGAGAGGAAAGACGTAGAAGGTACCCGTGAAGTTCTCTACTTTCTCACTCTGGGACTCTAAAGTGTATAAATATTAGGGCTTTTAATGCCGGTTTAAAACAAAATAAATGTTTAGAAGTGTTAAGAAGGTGAAGGGTGACCGACAAGTAATAATAATAATAATAATAATAATAATAATAATAATAATAATAATAATAATAATAATAATAATAATAATAACAATAATAATAATAATAATAATATTAATAATAATAATAATAATAATAATAATAATAATAATAATAATAATAATAATAATAATAATAATAATAATAATATTAATAATAATAATAATAATAATAATATACACAGAGAGAGTGAGAGATTTATACCTTGCTATCTCTCTTTCTCTCCCCCTCCTTCTCTCTCTTTCTCTCTCTCTCTCTCTCTCTCTCTCTCTCTCTCTCTCTCTCTCTCTCTCTCTCTAGGCAACGAGGAATGACAGAAAATGACAATTAGGATCAGATTAAACATAATCTTTTATTGGTATTAGATTCTTCGAGATGTATGCTTTTGCTTTGCGACCCGCCAGCTAAAAGTCGTCTTTTGTCACCCCCAGTAATCTGAAAAGTTTGTCCACAAGGAACTTCAGGACTCCCTTGCTCTCTTCAGCCTGTCCCTTCAAAGGGTTAGGATGGTTTCCAACATGAGTATTTTCTACTTCCCGCCCTATGATTAGTATTTCATTGTCTGGATTGTGGTCACCAGGGTTAGAGTGGTTGCCATGATGGGAGTGGTTTCCTTGATGAGAGTGGTTGCCATGGTGAGAATGGTTGCCATGGTGAGAGAAGTTGCCATGATGGGAGTGGTTGCCATGGTGAGAGAAGTTGCCATGATGGGAGTGGTTGCCATGGTGAGAGACGTTGCCATGATGAGAGTGGTTGCCATGGTGAGAGACGTTGCCATGATGGGAGTGGTTGCCATGGTGAGAGAAGTTGCCATGATGCGAGTGGTTGCCATGGTGAGAGAAGTTGTCATGATGGGAGTGGTTGCCATGGTGAGAGACGTTGCCATAATGGGAGTGGTTGCCATGGTGAGAGACGTTGCCATGATGGGAGTGGTTGCCATGGTGAGAAAAGTTGCCATGATCGGAGTGGTTGCCAGCCAAAGGCGTATCGAGGGATCCAAAGGCCGATGTCATGTTGACTGGCTTCGTGTTGTTTATTGGAGAAATGTTCGCGTTCTGAGAATGGTTGCCATGGTGAGAATGGTTGTCATGATCTGGATGGTTGCCATGATGAAGATGGTTGTCATGATGGGAATGGTGGCCATGATTGGAATGGTTGCCATGGTTTCCAAAGTCGTGGTGGTCACCATCTGCAGAAAAGTTAACGATGGATTTAAAGATGTTCAATATAAATGGTTCCCGGTCAGCGTGTATAAAGCAAGTGCAGCCTACTGACAGTCTCAAACCAGCTGACTCTAAAGAGAACATTCTAATAAATGAAGACACTTATTCTTTTTTCAGATTAGTTACGTTTGGTTTATTACAAACAAATACCCAAATGAGTTTTTCAAAACAAACCCAATGTACGAAAAAATAATTTAAGTTTTAACCAACGAAACAACAGAATAAAGGCCATCATCTTCACTGCTGACTTTATCAGG